TGCTGCTGCTGCTGCTGATTGTTTGAACAGGACGCTTCCGCCTCCGCTTTAGATAACAGCAACAGCAGCAGCAGCAGAGGCGACACACCCTCTCGCTCACAATGAGTGTAGGGAGGTGCACAGCACAGCAAACAGGGTTTTCGCACGATTGAGAGCGAAGTTTCCGATTGAGAGCGAGCACCAAAAAAAAGCGAAATTCGGGTCCAGACGCCTCCCGTCATTTCTCGGGAAGCAGGGGACGGGCTCTTCCAAAAAGCGGCGCAAATTGAAGCTTTCTTCAGCAGCTTCGCGTGCATATGCTTTTCACTGCGATCGGCTGCAGCAGCGAGGAGCTACGCACGTTGCTAGATTTCACCAGATTGGCTATTCCTGCCCGAAACTGTTTCAGGGCGCCGTCGCCTGGCGCGGTAGGTCCTCCCGTAGCTTCTGCTCCGCGGTGTAGCTCCACAACGCGAGACGCCCGCAGGATGACCCGGGTATCGGCTTGTAGCTATGGGCAAGCCCTTCAATTCAAGCCAAACAGCAAGCTCTACCTCTCAGCAGTAGACAAGCTACATCGTATCGCAGGCTCTCGCTCTCAATCAGATACTTCGCTCTCAATCGTGCGAATATGTTGTTCGCAGTAGCACTACATCAGATACAAACGAGCGTGATATTTTACTGGTCCCGTGCTGTTATGTATGTGTGCCTCTCTCCAAAGCAGAGTCAGAGGCCGCTCCCTCCCGCCGCGTCGCAAAATAACAACAACCAACCGATGGACCCACAGAGACCCAATCAATATCTCTCCTCTCGCTTCCTCCACCGAAAGCTAGCAGCAGCAGTAGTATAGGGCACACCCTGCTCCCGTCCCGCTCTCGCTGTGCATGAAAATTATTATTTTTCTCGTGCGCACATACTCCACACACGATCCCTCTAAACAGCTTTGTTTTTTGTAAAAACAAAACAAAAAGCGTACCCCTAACGGGCCCCACTTTAAAAAAAAAAAACTATTATTATTAAAATTACGACACCGGTGTCGTAAATAGCATTATGCTGTAGATTTTCGTCTGTCGCTCGTGATAGCACGCTGTAGCGCCTGTATAGCGCGGCCACCCTAGGTGAATGAATCAGGGGCCAGGTATTCGTGCAAAGTTCCTTGGATTTCCCTACGGAAACCGTGGAAACCGCCGTGGAATATTCCATGAATACGATGGAACCCATAGCGCCCAACATGGAGCCGCATGCCCCATTCTATCGGCACTCCGTGCAGCTCCATAGCTCACTCTCCATGCGGTTCAACGGCGTTGACATTCAGCACCACGGCAGCCATGGAACTCGACAGAAACAACCTGGAGTTCCGCGGCCTCTAACAAAACATGTGAATGAATTTCCGGTTACTCACACGCGTCGGGTTTATATTTTCACATGCCTTGGGACGCCACACAATTCTTCTACCGACGGGCGATGCGATGCCTGCTCCGCTGCTTGGGCCTCTAGCATCGATCAAGGAGGTTGCCATATATTTATTTTTTGCCTTCCGACAATTGCATATGTACCTCACAAAACTTTCACTTAATGTCTCATACTCTACATGAATATTAAACCAATACGAAGTACAAGGTTGCCATATCGCAGGAACAAGGCACTTGGCTGCAGAGAATACCGCCGAAGAAACGAGAACACCCACAAAACTGCCAATCAATACCTTTCGCATCAAACTGGCATGAAGGGCGAACGGTCATGTGTTCTACCTACCGCGCTCGAACGTCTAATAGAGCAACCTTACCTCGAATCAACCGGAGAACGCCCAACTCCAAGAGCAACCCCTATCAATAGTGGAAAAAATCCTGCACTTGTGAAGAGAATGAAATCTGCACCCGGAACCGGCAATACGCACAGAGAACACTAGCTGGAAGAGGAGAGGGCCCTCTGGAAACGCCATTGTTACCCGAAACAAATCCTTGNATGTGTTCTACCTACCGCGCTCGAACGTCTAATAGAGCAACCTTACCTCGAATCAACCGGAGAACGCCCAACTCCAAGAGCAACCCCTATCAATAGTGGAAAAAATCCTGCACTTGTGAAGAGAATGAAATCTGCACCCGGAACCGGCAATACGCACAGAGAACACTAGCTGGAAGAGGAGAGGGCCCTCTGGAAACGCCATTGTTACCCGAAACAAATCCTTGATGGTTACAAGACATACCCGGCACTCAAATAATGCCTAGCGAAAGAAAGCCACGATTGCGAACAATATTATTAATAATATGTTGCGAGCTAGATATAACAACATCAGACTGAATGCCAAAAGAACTGATCAATCGGCCCCTAGCCGCATATCTCAAGCGTTGTGCGGCCAATTCTCTACTCAGCTATTCATGAATCTGGAGAAAGAGTGACGAAGAAGCACACCTTAAAATGAACGCAAACGAAAGAAACATCCGAATAAGAAAACAAACACGCCCGCAGAGGCACAGAGACAAGAAGCTAGACGCGCTTGTCTATCAGTCACTCTCAGAGTCAGGCGTAAATAGGAAGAAATGCTTGAGAGAAAGCGCGGTGGCTATCAGCAAGGGTGTCAGGCCTAATGTCCCTAAGTGATACGCGTTCGTTCTCGAGACCCCCTTCGCCGACGACACTGTTCCATGAACTTTTGTTAGCATCCAAAGGACAGATTTTGCTACGCACATCGAGCGCGAAGCTCGGTTCGTGTTGGCTTCAATCGCCTTGGGCCGGTGTGTCCACCACTCATTCAAGGTGTCACGAAGATGAGCACCTGGTGTTAAGGTGACCAGCGAAATACAGTACCGCACAGAGAGACAGGGACAGACGAAAGGGAGAAGGGACGAGCGATTTGCCCCGACAAATGTTCGAAGCACGTACAGTATGTGTGAGCACGGCGCGATAGACTCGCTCGCTCCGAAAGGCGAACTGGGTGCGAAACGGATGTAACTGGACAAACAAAGAAGCCTTGCAAGTCCAACCTTTTCTATGGCTGCCCAAGTGTTTGTCCTGCTCGATAGGGTTTGTGTCCAATATTGACCTGGTAGGAATACAACTACCTTGCTCTGTCTACGTATGTCTCGTAAAAACATAAGCACACCAAACATGATCCCCTCGTCATCACCGGTCAGCAAATTTCCCAGGCCCTCGCAACAAGCAATCGTGGACACACCGCTCACCTCGATGAGACTGATCCATTCGTCCGAGAGGAGAGCGACGGACTCGAGCATCACAGTGCTGACGTCAGTAGCCGTCACACCGAGCATGTTGAAGGTGGCATCGGCGTAGGACTCGTGAGTGTGGGTCATCTCGCCGTTTATGTGGACCTGTGTGGGGAAGGTTTGCGCCGTAAGGAAGATGAAACTCTTGCTTCGGGCGCCGCCTATAGAAAGCGCCCACGGAAGCCGCTTGGGATGGGAGGGCGTCAAACGCATGGGCACGATGGCCCGCTTTCGGCGGCGCATGCGCCATCTCGATTGAACTCAGTCGCTAGGAGCGGTCATCACCTCCATGCTGTGCATTAAAACGTGTCGAAATGCAGTCCTCACGGTGGCGTACAGTCGCGCAAGTGTTGTCGAGGGCAACACAGTAACCAAAAAAGACGGCTTGTTATTTCGATAGTCTTCAGCCTGCTTGGTGTCGCCCTCACCTCTAGGGTACGGGTGCGCTCGTTGCCCTTCCAGAAGGCAACCTGGATGTCCATAATGGTCTGGGGTTCGGCAAAGGTGAACTCAATCTGGCACGGCCCTTCGTCATCCACGAGCTTCGTGGCGCACGACCACCTCGACTCGATCTCGGAGAAGATGCCATCACGGGTGTTGGTCGCCGTGCAGCCAAGACCACCGACCTCTCCGCACCCGACGTCGCCGCTGCTCCTGCCGGCCCGCACGTCGTGGGCGGTAGCTGATACGCCAACCTCGGTCTTGGTGCCCACCTCAACAGCACCGTCGACCGTCGGCAGGGCCTCTGTCTCTTCCCAGGGGACGAATTCGTACGACATTGGCTCGTCATCGGTGCTATAGTCATCGCTCCCAGTACTTTCTTCGCCGAAGCAGGAGGCGTTCGGGTCTTGGCAGTCGAAGGAGCCGTACTCGCTGCTGCATAAGTAGTCGTCATCATACGGGCTCTGGCATGTGCAAGAGCAGCAGTCGCCGCCGTCGTAGCCTAAGAGATAGCCACAGAGGGAAACGAGGACGCTATGAGCGCTCGAATATCACAGCTGTTCTTACTCCACGTCAGGCCGACCAAGGAAAGGGTTTGATGACCAACAACGAAAAAAGGCAACAGAGACACGAACGCCACCAGAATCGCAACAAGTTACCAAGTCCTCGGAGCCGTCAATTAAGAGTAAATCCAACGGTGAACCAGATTTCAATACATGAGCGTAAGAGAAAAACGGTTATTGCTGGAAAGGAGGAAACCAAAAAATTACCAGTGCAAAGTGCAAGACAGGACAACACGCTCGTGTTTTGGTCGCTAGGCCCATGTGGTGTGCATATTGTCACTTGACGACACATTCGATAGGAATCGATGGCAAGCACAGGAGAGGAGCAGTCCGCCTACCGTTGTTGTCACAACAAGAGCGCCTTCTACAGGAAGTACAAACTGGGAGAAGAAGCGTTGCGAAATATTTTCACCACCGTACGCTGCTTGACAACGACGCGAGAAACAAAAGAGGGCGCTAGGCAAACCCCAACCCTGACAAGATTGGTACGTCGGGAGCAGCGCAGAGGGCCCGAAATAGAAGTAGGCGGAGCCAAGGGGGAGACGACCCCAGAAACAATGCGGGCGTTCCTCCTCAGTCAGCCCGAATGATCGGGCTCTAGCTGACGGACGGCGCGCGTACAATGGGTTTTGTGACGGGTCTACAACGACGCCAGGTGTTATGGTACCGTGCTAACGTCGTCGAGGTAAGGAACGAATTAACAAGCTGCAATATATTTACAGCCCAATGCAGCTTAAAAGATACATCGAGCTTAGTCGGGTTCAAACTACAGTTGGGGTTCAGGAAATGTGGCGGACACAGTACCAGGGGACAATGCGGTACAGTGCGCCCTGTCGCCAATCCCCAGCACAGATTGTTCATTGAATCACAATTTCTTCGCATTTTCAAGCCAAAAAGGCTCCAACCCGCGGGGCAAACCAGACGGACCTGCTGCATGTCTGCTGAGCCAAGCCTATACCGACCTCCGTTCCCGACAGGTGCATGTTTTATCACACGGTTGTGCGGGAACGATATCCTGTGCCGTTTCAGGAAGCATGATTTCAAGGGGTTACGTGACTCACCGCATTCCTCCTTGTTGTTGTTTCTGTCGCACCAGCCGTTGCCTATGCCGGAGACGTAGCCACAGTTCTCGAACATGTCGACAGTAATGTCGTCATCGCTTACACAGGCCGCGTTGGGATCGATGCAAGAAAACTCCCTGCAGTGGTAGTCCCAATCATCATCCCAATCATAAGGAGATTCATACTGAAGGGCGGCAGGCGGGTACAAGGGAGCAGAGAACAAGTACAAATAATCAGGGATGACCCAGCACGGAGTCTTGGGGACAACAAGTACGGGGGATGTTGGCCAACATGTCGAACAGGCGATTCAGGAGCGCGGGTGTTTTTCTATTCAGATTGGACCCAACGCCAATCGAAACCTTCGCGCCAAACTACCTCGCAGCACCAACAGATAGGCGTTTGCCAAGACTACGAGACAAGAGGTTGTTAGTACTTCTACACCAGAGGGACCCATGCGGATTCCAAATGGTTTGCTTATGGGCATATACATTTGCAGCAAACCAGACACGGATGGAAAACACCGCTCGTGGAGAGACAAGTGTCCCAACTAGGAAGCCATCCGCGGCGGCGGGTTGGTTCACGGGCGGATGGAAGTAGGAGAAGATAACAAGCTTTAAGTACATTGCTTTGACGGCCCGTTGATCCAAGTATTTGGTGAGAACCCATACCCTTCGCGTACTTTACCTCGCACGTGCACTCGCAGCAGTCGCCTCCATCGTAGCCTGCCGAATCAGGGTGGGAAGGGCGAAGACAACGACGACGACGACGACACAACATTAAATGGTGGCATAAAACAGTGCGTCAATCGTAGTGCCACGCCTGACGAATATAAGAGCCCTGAGTTCATCCCGATGTTTGGAAAGCCCAGATTTTCAACGAAGGCAGGTGTACAGCAGTTGGTCCTTCCAGCCATCGGGAGAAGGAGTTCATACATTATGTCCCGACTCGGTTGCCCCACAGCTGAAAGAGTGGAGTAATGGGGCCCAAAGGGTGACGTCGGAAAATGGCGGCGTTAAAAACGTCTCGTGAACGGCTTGACGAAAAACCGAATCGTACACTTTGTACACCATCTTCGTCAAGTCCGTCCAGCGAGGGTGACATCTTGTGTCACCTACCGTGAGCGTGCATCAATGGTGCTGGTGATGGTGTCAGAGAAATTGCCACACATGCCAACCTTTCGGCGAGACCCCTTTACCCCACGGCTTATACTTGTTATCACCCCCACGCCCTGGAATCTGGGTGCTCAGGGGTTGGACACTGAAATGGACGAGCAGCCGGCAAAGAAGGTTTCCCCGGCATAAGGGGGGTTTGTGGAGATTCTCTGTCGAGAGCAAAAGGCGTACGCTGCTTTGCACCATGTGGATGTGTGACCCGCTGCGTGTTTGGCTCTAAGGCAATCAATCCTAAGGCCTCTACGACGAACAACAAGGCATCGGGCTGCGCATGGTGGGACAGCAACCTACCGCAAGCCTCGTTGTTGTTTCCTTCGTCACACCAGCCGTCTCCTACGGACAACGCGTAGTCGCAGTTCTCGAACATGTCGACGGTGATGTCATCGTCGTCAACGCAGGCTGCCTCTGGGTCAATACAGGCGAACCGCGTGCAACTCCAGTCGTCGTCGTAGACTCCCTGGCCGGAGGGCGAGCGGCAAATGGAGGGATATCCTTGTTTCGACGGTTTCACGAGAAACGAAAGGGGCAGCGGCTGGGGAGACGCCCCAACCCAGAAAAGGCATTTTTGCCCAGCAAGCTGTGATAGTGCCAAACACAATTCCAACAGAATCAAGCTCAGTATTTAACCAGGCTCCACGCGAAGGTGTGATATCGCGGCCAACCCCCGACGGCAGGGAAAAAGGCAGAGGCACGTAGCAGTTTCGTCGAGACCGTTGTGGTGGTGCAATGGGCAAAAACACTTCTCGGCTAGTCGGGAACGTCCAACGGTTGCAGATGAAAAGAGCGCTTGCCCAACGTGTTTCGCTTTAGGCCGTTACCTTCTATTACGGCCGCGCCCCCCACATGTCAGAACATACGGCGCAAAAACATGCAGTACGCACTACAGTCGTGTGCTGCGAGGTTATGGCCCAAGCAGTAGCGAACTTGTGTGATATGTTTGGTGTCGTCAGACTTTCATCAAAAATTTTGACGTAAAACCTTGCAAAAACAATACCGAGCCCGCGGTGGGCTGCCTTTCGTAGACCAAAGCTTCCGATGAAATAACATTCTGCCAAATTGACGTCGGCGTCTTCGAAGGGAAAGCACGGGCACAGGGAAAAGAAAACCACCTACCGAAGAGATACAACAAATGATCTTAGCGTCCGGGGACAACGGTCACAAAGGGGGAAGGACTTAGCCCTCGTATGAGTGGTCCCTACCTCACAAGTGCAAGAACAGCAGTCGCCCCCGTCGTAGGCTGCGGAAATTGGGGAACACGAAAGTGGCAGGACAGGGAAGAGAGAGACATGGCGGTCCACTTGTGTTGGTTGTAGCCTAAACCACGTGTGTATTCGTGAGAAAATGAGGGAGCGAGATCATAGTCGCGAAGGGAGACACGCAGGAGAAGGATCATGTGGTGAAGAGGCACGACATACTAGACAGCGATTCTGACGCATTAGACTTCATTCCCCACTACTGACGGCGACGAGTGTGTCTTAGGGCGGCAACGACGAAGATGCTTGCTCAGGCGACATTTGCGGAAAGTACGCGCGTGTGTGTCTGTTTTCGTCCTATTTATTATGGCGACAGTCCCCCCATTTTTCGGGATGAGACGTGTACTAGTAGTCTACAATTTTCAGCGAATGCAGAGTACTACAATCTTCAGGGTAATTTTCGTACAACTACAACCATCCAGGCTCACACAGGAGGGGGTCAACACCAGGGCTTTTTTGTTCTTTCCATTTCTTTTCATGTCCCACCTTCCCCCTGCGGTGCGTGCTGAATTTTATTTTTATCGCGACAAGGGTCCAGCCGTACCTTGCCCTCGTCAACGGTGCTTACGTCGAAGTTTGGTACTCACGAGAGCTTGTCAGCTATATTTCGCTTTCACTCGCACATTTCGTAAATTGTTCACCCCGTGGGAATTCGAACTCACGACCTCTGCAACTCGTACCCCAGGACAATCACAGAACCTCCTGAACGACCTTCTTCCTATGTGACCCCTTGCTAGTAAGTCAAACAAAAATGAACCAAGACGTTCGTACTGTGGCCGCGCCAGAGGAAATGGGACGAACACAAACACGCGCACCATGATCTCGCCGCAACAGCTTCCAAGACAACCAATCAACGGAGATTGCGACCTTGATGGGACCTTGGAGCTTATTTGAGCGCTAGCATCTGTTGGCAACAGCTGGTCCAGAGGTCGTCGGATGTCTAAGTCGACACACCATCTTCATCGCAACCAATCCCTATTTCAGCTTGCTTCCAACAAAGTCATTATTGTTCACCAGTACGGTACGGGAAAGCGAGATTCTCGGGCAAAGACCTACCGCATTCGGGCGTGTTGAGATTTTCACTGCAGTATCCGTCGCCGATGCCTGTCGACCAGCTGCAGTTTTCGATCATGTCAACGGTTACGCTGTCATCGTCCACACAGGGAGCGTTCGGGTCCACACAGGCGAAGTTACGACAGTGCCAGTCGTCGTCCTCGTTACCCTGGAAGGTGAGCGGACAACAGCAAAATGAAAAAATTGCGGCAGCAGCTCAGCCTTGAGAGAGGCGGGGGAGGGGCTCTCATGTTTTGCATGCCTTAGCGGTTAGACCAATAGCCATGCGTCATCGAGAGGAGGATGGGGCACTAGCCCTAACCTTGAGAGAGAGAGGAAGAGAAGGGGGGGGGGGGACTCTTGTGTTTTGCATGCCTTGGCGGTTAGACCATTGACCACGCGTCCTCGAGAGGACGGAGCATTGTTCCCACAGGACCGATCACCGATGGCCAATCGTTCCTTTCTGCTTTGCCAAAGGTGGCTCAAAAATGTCTTCCCTAGTCTGTCTATCCTAA